GAAGGAAGGAAGGAAGGAAGGAAGGAAGGAAGGAAGGAAGGAAGGAAGGAAGGAAGGAGAGGGAAGGGAAGGGAAAGAAGATCAATTTTTCCAGCCTGATTTCCTTCAGTATAAAAGGGAAGAAAGAGAAATTTTGAATTTACGGTGTTAAGATTCCGTTATTTTATCCTGCAGTTCCTGTGGGGTTTGTCGCATGGCCTAGCCTACCTTGAAGGCCTGGGGTTGCGGATTACACCCTTCCCCTGTGGTTACACCCCTGGGAAGCCTTTGCTAAGCCATCAGTGCAAAAGATAAGCAACTTCCATTTTATTGTAACCCCAGATATTTGTTGTTGCTGTTTGCGGTGGAAGTTTTTTTGCTGCTAATCCTGGCGGAGGAAAGAGGTTTCCTCTGGAGTTTTGGTCAAGGAACAATGCAAGTTTCTCTGTTTTTGAAGATTCAACCAGCATTTGCCCCCGAAATCCCCGTCTTCTGATGCTGCCATGACTGTGTCTTGCCCGTCCAGCAGAAATAGCCTTCCTACAACAGGGAAGACTTAGTTCTTACTTTGATGTTCTTCTTAATGTTCTCTACGACAGTCTTCTGAATGGATGGACTGCATAGGATGTAATCCGGGGCAATGCAGGTCTGGCCACAATTCAGGTATTTCCCCCACGCAATCCGCCTGAAGGATGAAAAAAATCCCAGGAGGCTAAGAGTAGGAAGGGCCTCTCTAGAGCAACCTTTTGGACCTCACGGACCACCAAACTCACAATTTAAAATCCCGCGGACCAGAGACCCTAGGAAACTCCCCCCAAAAAGTCTGCAGGAAAATTCCCCACCCCCGTTTTCCTACTGATCAATTGTTCTTTATTTGGGATGGCAGGATACCGCTCCATTCTCAGGGGGAGAGAGAGAGAGAGAGAGACTTCTGGCTTCATGCAAGGAAAACAGCAGAAGCAGCAGAAGTCTGTCTTTCTCTCCCCCAAACTCCGCCAGAAATGAGTCTTTGCCGGCGCAGCCTCTTAGGAGCAGGAGGCCTTGCAGGGTCCCAAAGACTCATTTCTGGCGGAGTTTGGGGGAGAGAAAGAAAGACTTTGGCTGCTTTCCTTGCATGAAGCCAAAAGCAGAAGAAGAAGCGGAAAGAAGCAGCCCGGTGCCCAGGTGAGGCACATGGGGTGAATGGGGCAAGTTCCCCCCTTTCTCCCTTTCCCCCCTCCCCTCACTACCTTGTGTTGTTCGCAATGCAAGTGACACAAGCCTTGTCTTCCTGCGGGCCTTGTGGGCGGCGCAGCCTCGTGTTCCCACGCAGCCTGGATTAATTGCTTTGGGGGTGACATTTCTCTGCAGACCACCAAAATTTTATCGCAAACCATCAGTGGTCCCTGGGCAACTGGTTGGCGACCACTGCTCTAGAAGTCACCCAGCCCAACCCCCAACGCTCAGACCAGAGATCCACATTACAGGCAGACCTTGACTTACGACTGTAATTGGAATTTTAAAAAATTCAGATTCAAATTCGTAATGAAGCGATCAAACCAGCGCCTGCATTTCCTGCGTCGGATGAAGAGAGCACGTCTTTCTCCTGTCCTGGCCACTTTTTACAGAGGCACGATGGAGAGCGTTTTAACAAAATGGCATCCCTGTTTGGTTTGGTGGCAGCAGCACCTCAAGATAGAAATTCCCTACAGAGAGTGGTCAGGACAGTGGAGAAGATTATAGGAAGCTTGCTTCCTGTTTTTCAGGATGATGCTTATAAGCGCAATGCGCTGATTCTGTAAACCGCTTAGAGAGGGCTGTAAAAGCACTGTGAAGAGCTATTGCTATTCCATTCCATTCCATTTTCTCTATTCTATCGTATTCTATTCTAAATTCTAAATTCTATTTTCTATTCTATTCTCAATGAAGATTCTATTCTATTCTTTATTCCTTTCCATTCCATATTTTCTATTCTATTCTAATTCTATTGTATTCTATAACTATTCTATTCTTATTCTAGTCTATTCTTTATTCCATTCCATATGTTCTATCTATTCTATTTCTGTTCTATTAATATTCTATTCTTATTCTATTCTATTGTTCTATTCTTTTTTCTCTTTCCTTCCATATATTCTGTTCTATTCATATTCTATTCTTATTCTACTGTTCTGTTCTATTCTTTATTCCTTTCCATTCCATATTTTCTATTCTATTCTATTCTATTCTATTCTATTCTATTCTATTCTATTCTATTCTCTATTCCTTTCCATCCCATATTTTCTATTCTATTCTATTCTGTTCTGTTCTGTTCTGTTCTGTTCTGTTCTATTCCATTCCATTCCATTCCATTCCATATATTCTAATTCTATTCTATTCTATTCTATTCTGTTCTGTTCTGTTCTGTTCTGTTCTGTTCTGTTCTGTTCTGTTCTATTCTATTCTATTCTATTCTATTCTATTCTATTGTTCCATTCCATTCCATATTTTCTATTCCATTCCCATTCCATTCCCATGTACATGCCAGTTGCCAAACACCTCAACCTTGATCATGTGACCGTGGGGACGCAGGAATGGTCGTAACTGTGTGAAAAACGGTTGCAAGTCGCTTTTTTCAGTGCCGTTGAAGCTTTGCTCACCAAAACTGAGCTGTTGTGAAGTCGAGGTCTGCCTGTAGAAGATGCCAGACTCACCTGCAAGCCACCTCAAGATTGCAGCCCTCATCGATGTAGCAGGGGCTCTTCCCGCCCAGCTCGAGAGTGACAGGCGTCAGATGCTTGGAGGCGGCTTCCATAATAATTTTGCCGACGACGCTGCTGCCCGTGTAGAAGATGTGGTCGAATCTTTGCTTCAGCAGCTCCGTCGTCTCCGGCACTCCTCCGTTGACCACTGGATACAGATCCTGGGGTGGGAGAGGGGGGGTGGAGACAGGGGAAAGAGGGAGTCCTCGAGTTATGACCACCACTCACAGAGGATCAGATTAGGTAATCACCTCCTCAGCCCTTATTCTTAACACTGGTACACCACAGGGTTGTGTGTCGAGTCCCTTACTCTAGTCCTGGTGATGGCAAACCTTTCTGGGCTCCTGTGCCAAAAATTGTGTGCACGCTGGCGCTCGTGTGCTAGCACCCAGAAGGCGACGCACCACCCCCTTACCTGCACTGTGTCTCACAGCTGGTTTTTGGCTGGTTTGAGGCCTTTTTTGGCATCCCAGAGGCTTGAAAAAAGCCCCTAGGACCAAATAGGCCCGTTTTGTCACTTCCGGTATTAACAGGAAGTGACAAAACGGGCCTATTTGGCCTGCAGAGGCTTTTTTCAAGCCTCTGGGAGGCCGAAAAAGGCTTCAAACTAGGCCTCACAGCTGATTTTCGGCTGGTTTGAGGCCCTTTTCGGCCTCCCAGAGGCTTGACAAAAGCCTCTGCAGGCCTAATAGGCCTGGTTTGTCACTTCCGGTATTAACAGGAAGTGATGAAACGGGCCTATTTGGCCTGCAGAGGCTTTTTTCAAGCCTCTGAGAGGCCAAAAAA